GTGTGTGTGTGTGTGTGGTGGACCAGATGTGCAGCAATGTGCACCCAAGTGATTTTAATTTTTGCAAATTGCATTTTCCTTTGCCCTTTCTTTGTCTTCACCTGTTGGCTTTCTGCTGATTGGAATCAATGGGCCAAGTAATAATGTCACGTGACTTGTTGCTTTCTGTTGGATGAATCTGTTGTGAGCAGAAATGTTTAGTGATTGAGTATATCTGCATTTTCCCTCAGTGACACGATCACCACAAAGCTGAATTCAGAAATCATACTTATCCTTATTTTGTGTGGGCTTAGACATGCCACGACTGAGTCATAGCCTGAAGATTAAATCAGTGTTTCTAAGCAACCTTTTTACACAGAAGAATTTTTTTAAACGCTAAAATGCAGATTTATACTAAGATTTTATCTCCTGAGATGTATAGATAATTTCGGAAGTCATGAAAACAATGTTAAGAAATCTCTCCTCACGCCCTTTTAAGGCCATCCAATGCATGTCAGCCCTTCTAAGCCAGTATTTTTGTAGCACCGGTCACGTGTCTATTGTAAAAACTTTGGATCCAGTCTCCCAGACGGGGCCCTGTCAGGTTGGGTGTAGGGTTTTTATGCTCCCCCATCCTCCCATCTTAACAATGGAAAGATTGGTGGGAGGGGTATATAATGAGCAGAGCATGTCGCTTCCTCATGCGTGGAGACTGTTTTCCCAATCTCTGTGCTGAGAGAGCAGCGTTACAGCGGAGTGGTCATCCTGGCCCCGGCCTAACTTCGCTGGAAAGGTGTCGTAATCTCCTGCGGGGAGTCCCACATGATGGTTTATCAAAGCACAACAGAGACGGAGGAGATACAGGGGAAGACAAGGAGGCTGCTACATGGACATGGGTGTGCATTCCTGCGTCTCTCTTTGCTTGTTTACCCCTCTCGTCATCATGTAGACAGCGTGGGGCTGCAGTAAGCTACCGTGCCAACCACAGAGCTGCTCCACCCTGCTAGCGTACCTACTCACTGTCTGAGAAGGGCCTCTATGCGTTGGCCCGGTCTACTGTGTAATCTACTGCAAAAAAACATAGCTTCTGGTGCTTATTTCAACTCCGGAGGTAATTTAGATCAGAACTTTTTCTTTTGCCCTAGCATTTCAAATAACAAACACATTAGGGCACGTTTCGTCCCATGGACCCCTATATGGAAGTGTCTGTGACAATATTGATTTAGTATTGAATTTGTATCGCACATGCTGTAGCAGGCGGGAGAGTTTTGCTACCCAACCCCGATAGGTCTGGGCCATTTTGTTGTGTAAATGTTTTGGGTCTGGGTCGAGCCCAGGTTCGGTCATTTTACAAAGACTGTGCCAGTTTTCTGCATCCATGTGTGCCGTTTTTGCCATTGTAATGCCAAGTGGGAACAAGGAAATAGAGACAGAGTATAGCAAAAGTTAAATGTTAACAAGTTCAACTGAAAAAAATGGACCAAAAATTTGGCAGTACCAGTTGGGTTTGGTCAGGTTGTGATGGCACAGATTGGGTTCAGGTTTGCCTGATAATCCAATTTAATTGGACTGATGTTGCAGTCAATTGTGAGTGACATATCTGGTCCTCCAAAGTTATTTTCAGCAACTTCTTTCACTTTGATAAAAACAAATATTCTTTGAAAAGTTGTCATTTCTGTAAGTTTACTGATAAAACCTTGCAGAGCTGCATTGATCTCATCTGCCCTGAAGCTAATTAGCAAGCTAGCTCTGTAGGAAAATGAGGTCCTTGTTTTTAATTGCGCCTAATAAGCTCTGATTGGTCAGTTGTTCTGGAGATTAAGAAACCTTCAATGAACACCAGACCTGTCTGAACCACTAACCAGATCAGAAATGTGGGTGGTGATTCAGAGGTCTGGAACCAGGCTGGGTTCAGGGGCACCCTCACACTGCAGCAAAGATAATTGGGCATCTGATGCTGCGGCTGTCAAGTTTTGTTGTTTTACCTCTTAGTTGCTGCAGTACGCAGTGAAAATGTCAGACTGACAAGGGCTTTGTTCCCCAAAAGTGTCTTGAGGCTAAGATTAACTTTATAACATCATCAGGTCTATGGGATAAGATCGTCTTAGATGCATTTGCAAAACGGGGCACACCTAATATGAATGAGAACATGTTATTTTCAAAAGCATTGAGAGTCGTCTTGGCGTTGTCAACTGGCCTAATGAGACCATGATCAGACAAGCAAAGCAATACAGTTCAACCAAAGAAAATATCCACCTTATAGATGACATAATATGGATATTGAAAACATTACTTATTTTAACTTTAAGCTATTCCTTTTGTTATTGGGTGCTAAGTCACAGATCTAGGACAGTAATTCTTATTTGAAACCAAATTAGACAAGATAACGAGAAAACTTTTTCTTTTTTAGATTCTAACTTGTTTATGAGCCAGCCACTGTCACTTTGAGGATACTGCCCACCAGCTGAGAACCACCAGTTAAAACTAATTAGCCCAGTAGGCCCAGTTTTGCATTCCCAACTGAATAGGTCTCACCCACATCCATCCCATCACAGACATTTCTCACATACTTCTCATTGTGGACTGGAATAGTTGTTTTTCCTTGAGTGTTTTATGAGTCCCCGTATGTGTGTGTTTTTAAAAAAGGAGAAGTATCTGTACTGTTATGCGAATGAGAAATGGTGGGTCTTCTAAATACAGTGTGGGGTGACCCCACCCACACCCCTCTCCCTCTCTCTCCCTCTCTTTGCGAAAGGCAGGAAGGCGAGGCCATCTTAATTCAACCAGTTTTTTTTTCTTAGCACTTGTTTAGAGAAGAGTCAGCTTCAAAGGGTGTGTGTGTGCCGTCTGTGAGGGGGACACTTTATTCTCGAGATCCTCTCAAACTTTCTAAAAGCTCTTTACTCCTGGGTGAGGGGAACGGGGCCGCAGGGATGTCTGAACAAACAAGCCCTTTCTGCAGCACCGGACACACTCACTGGTCTGCATGTAGTTCCTGAACTGGGTCAACTGAGCTCACATGTGGAGAGCCAGGCACCCCCACACACACACACACAAACACACACACCAGAGATTCTCCCCTTGGCCTGGAAAAACACCACCAGTCTGACAACAGCCACCACCGCTGCTGCCAGCAATATCGTCCCACACACACTAACACACACAGGATGCACACATTCATATTCAATAGTTTCTGACATGTAAATCAACTGTGACATTGCATGCAAAGCAGTCTCACCTCACAAACCTCTCAGGCTGTCGTGGTTGTCTTTGCCAAAGTCAACTCAACTGACATGATACAGTGTTTGCAGCATGCAGCCACTCCCCACACACAATCTCAGTGTTGTCACTAACCGTTTGAGATACTCAAAAGTGTTAATAAGTCCCTTAAGTCCTGGTGGAAGCTGTGTGTGGATCCCACTCAAACATCTCTTTGTCTGAGCACACACACATTGCCTAAGCTGGTCTGACTCACACGGTCTTACTCATGCGTCAGTTACGATTTGCATTGTCTCTTTGTGTTTAAGTGCAGCTTTTGGAAGATTGAACTCGATCAACTTTAACGCAAACTTAAGCCCCAAGATTATTGATTAATTACACGTATACTGTGAAATATGCTTATTGCTTTCCGTCACAGTCAGATGAGGAGGTAGATGTTATATATGTAGCTGCTGCCAGCTGTAAGAAGTACTGTAGGGTAAAACAGCTAGCCTGGTTAGGTCCAAAAGTGAAAAATATCACTGCTAGTACCTCTAAAGCAAACTTTTACCAGTGGTTACGTGCTGGACTATTTCTTGGCCAGGCGCTAATGCTAGTCTAAGCTAACTCATCTAACTCTCAGCAAGAGTAATCCCAAAAATGTGACACCTTACCTTTAATGGTCAGGTCTATAAATATTATGTTTGAACAACAATTAAAAAACCTGAAGTGAACCAGCTCACACTGCAGAGCCAGCAACTTAATATATTTGGAAACTTATTTGAGAAATTGCTTATTTAAATTGTTGTATTTAATTTTCTGTGAACTGATTATTGGAATAAATTACTAACTAGTTTAGCCTTACACAAGCAGTTTTCCATTGATTTTTTAGCAGCTGTGTTGTGTTTGGGTGTCACCCACAACGTGTTGATTAACAGCCTGTATGAGGTATAATGTTATTGTAACAGATAGAAGGTGTCAGCTATAATTTAAGTCAGTAGTCGAGGGAGAGCAAACGCTGGCGCTGTTCGACTTTGTGCGCTTGTTGACAAGAGCATCGGTCAGTGGATAAGAGTTGACTCACAGGGGCTTTTATCAAGAGGAAAACAAGAATTGGAGGTGTAATACAGGTCAGATGAATAACAGTGTGACTGAGCAAAGTGCTTTAATGATAGTTAGGAATAGGTGTCTCCATATAACTTTTCTTGAAACATTTGCAAAGTTGTGGTGTAAAGGTCTCCTGTGAGGTTTAAGAATAAAGGTTTTTAGTTAAAGATTCAGCTTTAACCAAGAAAAACGACCTTCCTCTCTCTTAACTACGTCCTCAAATGTCATGTTTGTTTGGAAGAGGAGGTCTATGTGAACTTTTGTTTTTGTTTAGGTTCAAAGAGGGGTCGCCCCAGCTTAACCTGCGGTGAGAGGTCAATACTTGAATCACTTGGTTGGACTGAAGTTTGGCTGACAAGCTGGACTTGACCTTTCAACTTTTCAGCCATTGAAGTTAACAACACATGAAGTGATGTCAATGTCAGAGGGATGCCCTGTACTTTAAACATCTAGTAATGACTCTATAGAGATAAGAATGTGTTTGTTGGTTGTGTTAAAGGTTAAATCGCACCTTGCCTCCAATAAACTACACTGTCAGAGTGCTATGTTTTGTTATGGTGGAAAATTCATGACTCCATGCAAGTATGACTGAACTAATCCAGTCCAGGCAACATAACAAGTCTGGGCTTGTTTTGTCTATTAAAGTCATGGTTTGTCCAGATCACACAAGCCATGAAATATAATTGAAAGCATTACTATCACTGCCAAGTTGCGTATCAGGCTTAACTGGATACTGGAAATTCTCTAATATTATTATATATTAGGCATTTAATATTTTTAGGATTATTACTTTTATGAAACATTAAGTAACAGTGGGCACTTGGCATATTTTGGGGATTTAGTTCAAGAAAATTTGCTCTGACCATTTGTGTTTTATAGTGTACATAATTTTAGATAGTTTTACGTGTTATGGCTTGATAGCTGAAGGAACTTCGACCTTGTTGTAATCATCTTGTTGAGGGTTGTTCAGCTGGGCTGGTGTGAAGCAAAAGAAGTAGGCCATTTCTAACAAATGGAGTCAAACTAAATAACCCTCACCAGGTTTTCTCACAGAAACAATCTTTCCAGTCATTTGTCACCTGTGCACAACACACATGCCCCTCAGTGGGTATTATCATCCTTTTTTTAACCTTTTTTGCCAGTATAGTAATTGAAGGTTTGGCACAAGTCAGTAAGAAGTGCAGCTTTGGGGCACCCTGCTGCTGAGGTGCTTTTTTCATCAGTGCTAACATTTCCACACCTTGCTGTTGGCACACACACTCTCCTCTTACAACTCCTGCTGGAGCTTTCTCCTGGAGGTGTTATTGGGGGGTTTAAATATGTGCTATAATGTGGAACAGAGGGAGCACAACGTGACCATGGCAGATGAGAAGAGATCCAGGTGGGACACAGTCGGTGGTGATCCGCCACATGGAATCTAGTAAAAATTTAACTACCTAGAAACTTGAAGCACATTATGCGTGTAGCCTTTGGTAGTTTCTGATAGTCAGTCCAGACCATAGGTCCCAACCCTATTTTCTTGCCAGATTTCTTAAAACCTAGACAGGAAAGGTCTGCTGTGTCAGCAGACCTTTCTTTACAGCCTTTACAGTTATACAGTTAATGTTGCTTTTAACCTCATTTGTCCTCAGAGGCCTCATGCTCCCATACAATAACAACTTTGGAGTGTCCCCATCAGGGCACCAGATCCCAAATTGATGGCCACTGGCTATGTCGAGGCTAATCCATCCCCTTCTCTTTATCCCATTTCTACCAAAGCGGTCATTGCGAGGTCACTGTCCAGTCTGAAGATTGTCAGGCGCGTGAAAGGGAGGCACTGTGTTGGATCCGTGCCGAAGGAAGTGGATGGCGTGTCTCCCGGGTGGCCGTGCCGCCCCATCATGGGGAGGTTGAGAATAGCTCAGGCTCTCGGTGAGGAAATGTCACCAGAAGAGCAGCGGCAGCAGCAGCATATCAGGGGCCTCTCAGGCCATGCCACTCAACTCCTGGGGGAAGCAGATGGCACATGCCCAGAGCTATTTTAAGGCTTCAGGAGGGCAACTGTCCCCCTCCATCACCCAAAATGACTAATGTAGACAGAAAGGCAAGCACTGTTGTGACTTTTGCCCTCCTATCAGCAAAGTCACGGCTTTGATTGGTGGATCTGTTCAATGGAATGTACTTGTCTCTAATGTAGTGCTTTATCGATCCTGTTTTTTGCTCAATCAAAAGCAGTGGTACTAGGTCAAAGTGCACATTCTGTTGTGGAGTTGTAACAGATTCTCTCCCAAAGAAAAAACTTCAGCCGGTCAGACATTTGGCCTTAAACCCTGTAATTTGGTTAAAGGAAGAACAAATAGACCACCCACACATTTACAAATACACATGATTCTGTGCAGCTACCCCTCTGGGCTCTTGAACCTGGATGAAAGTCTGGCCTGACTATTAGGTGTGAGAGAGGTAAGATAGAAAAAGCAGCAGGTGATTGGAGAGCTTTGTGAAGAGTAAAAAAAAACAAAACCCTGTCAGGATACAACAGTGGACATTCCTCCTTTTGGTTGCCAACAAAATGTTAATTTCCTCATGATAATAAGTTGGAAAGAGCAAAGATAAGTTGACACCAGGCCGTGTCACACACATGTTCAAACAAACGTGTGTGTATGTATGGGCTTGCCACACTCCATTCGCCCCTGAGCTCCACTGTTGACTGCATTCTGAGTGGCTGAGAGTTGTGTGGAAATTCACATCTGTGGAGCTGCAGGGTGGCCACCCCCTTGTCCTCCCTCTACCCTTGCCTCTCGGGTTTTCAACCAGGTCTAACTGTTAGTTCCACTCTTCTTTGTGAGCCAGGAAGAGGCCCCGTTGCTGTCCCCACTATCTGTCTTCTGTGGCCAAATTTGGAAACTTTTGACATTACATCTTGTTTGCGCCACAGCGGGTTGCAACATGCAACCGGTCTGTCTCTCAAAGTCCATGTTACATATGGGGAAACATACACTAGAAGTAAAGCAAGATATCTGTTTCAGTTGTCCCCCGCAACCTTTACCCCCACCGCCACCCCAAAGTTAACGCTGAAGTGACGGCTTGCACAAGTGGGCTGGCTCACAAAGGTCATGTCCCATTAAATCTAAAGGGTATTTGCCGGATATGAGTGTGTATCCCAGTGAAAATGTTGCTTCACCTTCTGTCTTTCTTAAAGGACTCCAGGTATGCTGCTTGTAAACTGCATGTTGAGTAAAAAACTGGTGTAGGCGGATTTTGACAGAGGCCCCTAATTTTAAGTGGTTAGGGATAAAGGGCGTGCCTCTGCGGCTGCCACTGCAAATGATGTTGACAGTGAGACGGCAATGTTTTGTCCTAAACCAGGTAGGCTATTTCTGCCTCGCCTTACGTGTTTTCTTGTTGTCGCCTGTACGAATAAGAACCAGGAAGACTTCCATTTAGACGTCCCACACCACCTCTCTCCCCACGATAGACACTGACAGATGGGCCCTTGTAGCAGGCACACATTGTCACCATAGCACAATGCATGCTCTGTTGAATTCCTAGCCTTATAGCTGCCTTTGTTTTTTGTGTGTGTATGTGTGTGACAACAAAGGAATGTGTGTTACAACCTCGTTTTTCACATCTTTTTTTTTCTGTGGTCATCCTTTCTGCTATTGTATCACATTGGGTAAACTTGTTGTTCATTCATGTCATGTTAAACATTTCATCATGGCTGGCGTTTTCCCATTGCCAAAAGTAGAGATAAAAAAAAATGTCTATCAACAGGGTGGCTTTTATCAGTGATTTCCATGTTTTCCCTCTTTTGTAAAATCTTTTCTTTTTTTTTTTCTTTGACAGGACGTATGGGCCTCAACTTTCATCATCCTGGAGCAGACCACATAATGCCATTGAATAGTAAGTCACACTTCATTGTAGTGTCCATCATCTTCTTCTCCATCTGGAAGTGATCAGAATTGTCTGAGTTTTTACTGATAAGTGTTGCAGCTGCTTTTCGCCCTCTGTGTTTTGAAAGAATTAAGAATGGGAAGTATTTTTGTTGCATGTTCCCATGAAAAACATATGCCGTCTAACCAGTATGCACTGGGCACACCTGCCTAGCCTTTGCTAAGGCCTGGATTCCCTGACACCATAAACCTAGGACAGTCATCTTAGCACTGAAGGGGAAGCACAGTTGACCTGTGAATAGCACTTCCAAAAATACCCCAACGTGTAAGATTAGATTCTTCCAGTGTCCCACCAGACGGCAGATGACCAACAGTGACAGAAGAAGAGCCAGAGAGAGAAATCAGGTCTTTATCCCATATGCTGCAGCATGGATGCCGCATAGTTTTCCAGACCAGGGCCCTGACCTTCCGAGTGCTCTTTATTTGTCTTTGGATGGTATCTGGGACATGATTTCTTAGGTTTTACACATACATTTTTTGGTCATGTCTTGTAGTTGTTTTAGAGGAAAACATGTGTACTATCTTTTTGTACAAACCTCAGCAAAATGTCTGGAACGACGCGATCAAACCAGATCAGCAAAGCCCTAGTTTCCTCTCTGGATACGTTTAGTCGGCCTACAGGGTATAAGAGCCAGTAAATGCAGAGGATGTTGAACATTAAAAAAACCTTCTTGGTGAAGCAGTTTCTACCATCACATCTTGACAATGTTGGCGCTCCTTCCTCATTTTGTTCCTTTCATCACTCGTATCCTCGGAGAACGTGTCCCAGATTGATGCTAAACTGTTGTGTCATGGGATTGCACTCAGGCAAGCACAGATCTGCCCAGATCTTCCAAGTCTGTCAGAACTGGCTCTAGCTGTTGTAGCCTGTGATGTGTGTAGACAGGGAAGCTTTGGTTTCAACTTAAAAGTGTTTTACTCTGTTTTTTTCTCCTTCATTTCGTCCTATTAGCTTTGAGGCTTCACGCTGTGAGAACCTGTAAGGGCTCTACTTTCTCCGGATGGTGTTAGCACTTGAAGTGAAGAAGAAAGAGTGGAGAGTAGTAAGCGTGGGTCTTCTATCCAGATTTATTGGTGTTGTTCGCTTGACAGTTTCGCAGAAGTGTTCGAGGCTTTGATGCCGAGCATAGCAGCAGACATCAAACTCATCATGCCCAGAGGAATCACCCAGTTTCCTTTCAAACATTTCTCCCAGACACCACACAGTTTGAAGTTGGTACTAATTCTTAACCCTCACTTTTCCCTTTCCTCCTCTCCCTCATGGGTTGCATTCTCTCTCACTGAGGCTTCTGACGGTTTCCCAGCGCAACGTTTACCTCATTTTGCCCTGGTTGCTAGGTGACTTTGTTTCTGCCAAGGCCAAACGGCGAGAGGGCAAAGCTGCAGAGACGCTGCCCAGGTTTTTCTGGATTGGAGGGCTAGATCTTTTTAATGAAAACGTAGCAAGGGAGAAGAGGCTCAGAGACAATATATTCCCAGAGAGCAGCCAGAGGGGCAAGTCACACAATGGGGCTCTCACAATGCAAAGGCCCATGTTGGTTTTTTGAGGCAATGAGTCTGCTTTGTGACTGATGCGTTTCAAGGAGCAAGAGGATCTGTTTAGTACTGTACTTCTGCTGTTTTCTGGAATTTTCCCCGTTTTAAGCCACATTTTGCCTCCTCTGTAGTTTGCATTTGTGACACAGCAGATTCAAATCGGGCTTGTTTTGGGAACATTACAACTGTGAAACAAGATGTGGTTTCTTTTTACACATAAAACTGTTGATTTTTGATTTTGGAAACAGTGATATGGTTAAAAAGAAATCTATTTAGTATCTATTCCCAGAGCTTTTGAATGAATCTCGTCTTTTTCAACAGGTGACATATGATAAGTTTGAGATAGCTTAGCTGTCATCACTTGACCTACGTATGGACATTTTGTCACGTGATAACAGGTTGTTGTACATGGGGAGAAGACAGTAATATGTAACTGAAAGATGCAATTGGATGTGACATAATAACTCATATTCATTTACTAGTTTTTTCCTGAGCTTTCAAGTGAATCTCCTGGTCTTCTCGACTCAGCGGATGGCCTTTTCATAGCTGTCATGCAGATAGCTCAGTTGTCATCACTTAACTTAAGAATGTGGATTTAGTCATGTGATAACAGGTAGT